ACCAACTCTGGATTTCTGGCTTCTCTTAAAAAACATGGACTTACTGGGTAAGCATTACCAAAAGCCTGTAAGTATCTATAAGTAGCAGCTACCCTTTGAACAGGGTATCAAAGCTCCAAATTGCTAATCTTTTTTTTTGTTGTTTAATATTTTATAGTTGTCAATAGACCTTTATTTTATTTATCTATATGCTGACTATCGAGCCCAGTGCCTCACACATACCAGGCAAGAACTGTACCATTGAACTACAACTCCAGCCTGAAATTGCTAATCATTATCCAGCTTCACCCTTCACTCATTTACTTACCTGCCCCACTCTTGGACATTCAAATTTTCAACTTCTAGTTCCATCTACCAGTAATAAGCTGATGATAACAAATCTCCACTTGTAGCTCAGACTCAGCTTCAATTATCATCATTTGTGTCCTCAAATATAAGAGGACCCCTCGCCACCTCTGTTCTTCTGGATTCTCTATTTCAGATGTTTACAACATCCAAGAGTTAAGTCGAGCCAAGAACATCACAGTTGCTACTCTTAATTCTCTTATCTCCCATTTCCCAGTTCCTAGTGATTTACTTCCTAAGAATCTCAAATCTTCTCCCTTTGCCTTCCCCCATTACCATTACTTTAATTCATTTGAGGTCCCATTAACACTCAAAGTTATTTTATTATGAACTCTTCTAGCCAATGGCAATGCCTTAGATAACTAACTACCCGCCTTCTCCAGGACACTGATCCAACAATTAGCCATTTTTCTTTCCCACATCATCAATTTTTCCCTCTTTACTGAATTTCTGCCAACAACACAGGAACATGCTATTATTTTTCTTATCCTAAAAAAAAAAAAAAAAAAATTCACTTGCACCCACTTCCCCCTCCAGCTACTGCTATATTTCTCACCTTCCCTTTAGAGCAGAACTTGAAAGCAATGTCTATACTCCTATCTTAAAATTGCTCTTCTCAAAGTTTCATTATTAAATCCTGGGATAATTTCTGTGTCCTCATCTTACCTGGTCTGCCAGCAGCATTTGACTTAGTTGCTGATCTACCTCTCCTCCTAGAAACATTTTCTCCCTTGGCTTCCATGGTATCACATTCACTTGGGTTTTCTTCCTCCTTTATTCTCAATCCCTTTTGCTAATTCTGACTCATCTTAATACCCTCTGTGTAAATGTTCAAGACCCGGGCTCAGTACTTAAATCTTTCCTTCTACACTTATTCCCAAATTCTCATGACTATAAATACCACCCATGTACCATGTGCCAATGAGTCCCCAGATTTATTACTCCAGCCCAAACTTTCCCCCTGAACTCCACACTCCAACTGCCTACTTGACATCTCCATTTGGCAACTGGGTGGACTTCTAAAACTTGTTTAATAAACATGTCTAAAGCTAAGCTCCTGGTGCCCACATTCCCCCTCTCCAAACTATTACATCCTTCAATCCTCCACCTTCAGTTAACGGCAACTCAAACCAAAAATCTTGGTGTCAACTTTTCTTTCTATCACATGCAAAATGAAAGGAACTGCAAATATATGCAGCAAACATTATACTGAACTAAAAGAGAGACACATTATATGATTCCATCTAGGAAACAAGCTAAACTATACTGATAGAAAGCAGATCAGTGGCTGTCGGGGGATAGGGGTTGGGAGTGGGGACTGACCAAAAGGGGCATTCAAACAATCTTTTGGAGTGATGGAAGTGTTCTATATCTTCATAGTGATGGTAGTTAGGAGTAAATAAATTTGTCAAAACTCACTGAACTATATAATGTGTACATTTTATTTTAGGTTAATTATAGCTCACTAAGGTTGATTAACACACACACAATTTGACCACTTCTCATTGCCTCCCTACCCCTACTGCTATCACATGGGAACTATCACACTCTCTCTTCTAGGTTCAACGCCTCCAAAATACTTCCTCTTCTTCTATCTTTGTCTTTGCATATTATTTTCAACAGAGTGGCCAGAATGATCCTTTTAAAACATGAGTCACAGGCTGGGGTTGTAGCTCAGTGGTAGAATGCTTGCCTCTCATATGTGAGGCCCTGGGTTCACTCCCCAGCACCACACAAAAATAAACAAATAAAAATAAAGATATTTAAAAAAAGAAAAACCATGAGTCACATCATGTCACTCCTCTGCTCAAAATCCTCTAATGGCCTTTCATCTCAGTAAAATTCAAGGTTCTTATAAAAACCTCACACAGTTGGGCTCCTGTTACCTCTTGGATCTCATCTCCCTCTAGTCTCCTCAAAGGCTATCCATATTCCATCTCAGCCAACCTCCTTGCTGTCCTTTAAATATGGCAGGAAGGCTCTTTCATACATATTACTCCCTTGGCCTGAGTGATGTGCCTACCCACCTCATTCCTCAACACAGTCATTTTCCCCTCATTTTCTTCAGCTCTTTTACCAAAAGTCACTATTTCGGTGAGTCTTTTCCTGACCACCCTATCTAAAATTTCCACACACACACACACACACACACACTCCTATTTCATTTTCTCTTTTCCTGCTTTATTCCCCCAACTCAGGCCTTATCACTCCCTTATATTGTACTAATATCTTATATACTGGCTTTCTCTCTACTAGAATGGATAGCCCAAGAGGGCAAGGAGTTTTATATTTTTACAGATTAATGTTTTATAGATTAATTTTAGACCAATAGATGTTGCATGCATAAAATAAATGTATCCTTAACTTTCCCTTTTAATAACTGACAGTAGAGTGGGTTTTATAAATGCATTATTTTTTAAATTTTTAAATATTTTTTTAGTTGTAGGTGGACACAATGCCTTTATTTTTATTTAGTTATTTTTATATGGTGCTGAGGATCAAACCCAGTGCCTCACCCACGCTAGGCAACCACTCTATCACTGAGCCACAACCCCAGCTCTCATCATTTAGTTTTAAAAATCCTGGCATTTTAAATAAAAACTGGACTTGGCAGGTAGCTTAATTGTAGAGTACCTGTCTACCATGCATAGGGCCCTGGGTTCAATCCCTAACATCACACACACACACACACACACACACATAAATTAAATAAATAAAAACTCTAGCATATTTAAACATGTTAATGCATATCAGCCAAAATTTGCTTTCACTTCTTATTAAAGAATTTAAGATAAGACATTGAGAAACTTTTAAAAATTTGTAGAGATTTTCTCATGAGCAATAAATGTGAAATATCTCTCATTACTGCCAAAAAAAAATAAATATTGCCTTACTACTGAGTTCTTTGCAAAAGCTAGACTCATGTTGCCTAAAACTCCTATTACTATTAAGTAGAAAATAATCAGTCTGACAGTCTCAGAACTAAGAATTCATTTTTAAAATATACATAACTCTTATTTATCTTTATCATTTAAACAATCCATTAAGGAATATCTTGTTTTATAAGCAAGTCACATCAATATGAGAGTGTTAAAGTGTAGATCAGTTTAGCATAAATAATTTAAAAATAAATAAGAAGATAGAGGTGCCTTTGCTCTAGAGATTCAAGTCACTTCTCCTTTAAACAAGCAAACACAGGTTCTTGGGAGTCCAAAGGAGGTGCCTCTTTAGTAAATGCAGAGGAGAAAATTCCATATTGCAGCTTTTACCTACGTCTGCAGCTCTTGCTTGAAAAGCATTATTCAACTTCATTCAAGTAAAGAGTTCCAGTGTGTGGAAATTATCTGCTTCGGTTTATAAGCAGCTTTTACATACTTAACCTAAAAATAAAGACTGGGTTTTCATAATACAATTAAAACTGCTTTATGAATTTAAATGTAGAGGAAAAATTCAGGAAAGCAATATTATTTAATTATTTAACAGCTCTGAATAAAATAAGTTTACCAAACAGTAAATATTTTAAGGATAAACAGGAGAAAGCATTAAAGATATCACTACTGAGTACATTGGTTTGTTTTTATTGTATATAAGCAGCATATTTTTCTGTGTCAATTTCTCAAACAAGACAATGAAGAAAAACACCCTCAATATAGCATCCTATCACAGAAGGACAATAGCTGCCTGCAGACCTCATATTGTATATCTGATCACTATTAGACTTCCTAACCAAAACATTTTTAAACTATAAATTTATTTAATATTTATTCATCTTGGTATACCCAACATTTATAACAGTGTATTATCACTTGTAGCTCAGAGAAAGTGCTAACATCTCCAAATCTTTCCATTTCTAAGTTTCTTGGACTGTTTTAAACATAAAATAAGAGTTTAATTTGGATAGAGAAAACAACAAATATTAGTACCAAAACTAATAAGTACTCCTAATGGAAGAGATGCATTAGCACAGATCATAAAAATTGACTTTTATTTGCAGGTTTAGAGCTTTCAAAGCAAGATGAAATGAGAATGATCATACAGTACCTTACCCTTTCTACCGGTGAACCATAGCATGCAATGCCGAAACATAGCAGTGGCAGATGGCATTGGTGTTATTAACTATAAAAAGGATAATAGCAGAGAAATGGTGGCTGGCATACAGACACAGAAATGCAGATGAAATGAATGCAAACTTGTACTTCTTGAAGCAGAGCAAAACCTTAAAGCCAAAGGTTGCCGCCAGCTTCAATTTAATTTACATTTTGAGTTTAACATGGACAAACACTGCAACCTTCACAATCAGTCTTTAGACTCTTCATGCAGAAGCAGAATCACACTCCTTGATAAAGAAGATCAGCAACCTTCTGTAAACACAAGCCAGCAGCAGCAGCAGCCCATTACTCTTTTTTCTGATTTTTATCCTTTAAATTTTTAATCTCCAATTGCCGCCAGTCCACAGTCGATTCAAATAGATCTGTTTCCACTGCAGATACAAATCCCTGCCTAACCTGCAGTACCACTTCATCCAGAACGTTCCTGTGCACTCGTTCATGCAGGATCAGTTGCAAAACCATTCAAGTCATTCAGCAAACAACCCAAAAGAGAAGGAAAGAAGCAGTTGGGACTATGAAGAGAAAGAATCTCTTCTTTCAGCTCACCCTGGAAATGGAAGGTTTTCTGATCAACAGTTATTGTGAAGGTGCTGTCGTCCTCATCGTCTATACCAATCACAGCTCCCTGTGAAACAAAGAGCAAAATCCCAATAAGGCAAACAATGACATCAGCAATATTCACTACTGCTACAGCCCTGGAATACTCAATGCCCGGAGGACACTGGAAGCAGGCTAGATAGAAAAGCTGAGACTCGAGTTTTGCTGAAGGAGGGAGATGCAAAGGAAAGGGGCTGGCAACACAAGTCTATTGCCCTGCACAGACACTTTCTATGCCCTGCATAGGGGCATGCTCCTAGTGGGAGGGGGAGGGGAGACACACAGAAGCTGTGTCTAAGAACCAGCCATACAGTCTTTCTAAGCTTTAAATTGCTCACTAAAATGTGAGTCAGAAACCTACACCTCCCCAGGTTGTTGTGAGGCTCAAAGAAGGCAGTTGTTCTTCATCAGGCTGCTTCTGTGTTATGCTTGTTAGTAAAGAAATGCCAGATGACATTTGCTTCAAACACCAATCCCTTTTTCCAGATGCTCTCATATCCACTTGAACACTGCTCTGCTGTGGCAGTTTTCACACTGTATTGTGATTATCTGTTTATATGTCTGCTTCCCCCAACAGAACTGCTATGAGGTCTTGAAAATCTAGGGCTATTTATTTATTTATTGGTACTGGGGATTGAACCCAGAAATGCCTTACCACTGAGCTACAACCCCAGTCCTTTTTATTTTTTGAGACAGGGATTCTCCAAGTTGCTGAGAGTCTTGCTAAGTTGCTGCAGCTGAAACTTGAAATCCTTCTGCCTCAGCCTCCCAAGACACTGGGTATTTATTTTGACACATGGCACTAAAGTACACATTTAGGTAGAGGAGTCTCCTCTTGGTTTCTCAGTGAAGTCAAAAGTACATGTTCCTCCTTCCCCATATATTTTTGCTCATTATTGTATTTCTTGAGCTATTTTCATATTATTCCCTTCTTTTGTGTGAAATGGTTTTAATTTTTGTTTTTGTTTTTCTTTAACTTGTGACCACCAAGTTTTAAAGATATCTTTCACTTGACAACTGTACCACAGGTGTACTGGCAATTTCAGAATATACTGATAGCTTGTATTTGTTTTTAAAATTCAATTAATCCTTGATTTTAAAAAATACATATTTACATGTATATGTTTACTAAAGAAAAGAATGAACAACTCTACAAATGATGGGAAAGGGAACTATGTTTATAAGTTGTTTATTTTGGAGATCTGGGGATATAGCTCAATGGGAGAGCACTTGCCTAGCATGTGAGAGGCCCAAGGTTCAGCCCCCAACATCCACTGCACAAAAAAAAAAAAAAAAATTCACTTACTTTAAATTGTTTGGGATAGATAGGTTGTGTTTAAATATAAAAAAATAAAGAATTTAAACACAACCTAACTATATGAATTATGTTAAGACAACAGGAATTAAGGAAAGAAACAGGAAATTATGTAAAATAAGGAGTCAACAGGTCAATAGGTAAATGTCCTTAAGAAATGAGTATAGTATTCCAGACTAGAGAGCATGGGATATGTCAAATGCCCCAAGCGGGTGACAAGAGAAACCATATACCAAAGAAAATCAGAGACTTTGAAAATGAGAATTGAAAAGGTTCAAGAGGAAAAAAAAAAATGCCACTTGGGAAAAAAAAGCTACATGTGGAGACTACTTTTGTCCCAGGAATATTTGGTAACAGAATAAAATATTTATTCATTTATTCCCAGAGGCCATCTGAATGAACCTCACCTCTATACAGTTCCATCCATGGGAATTATATTCCTCATTCCTCAGTTTAAGATTGGGAAGGAAATTTTACTCCTATTTTCAGGTAAGGAAAATATCTCCAGAGAGTATCAGGACTTACCCAAAGTCATACAAAGAATTAATGGCAAATTAATCTCCAGGAAATACAAAGAACTCAAAACTTAATGCCAAAAAAACCAAATAATGCAATCAATAAATGGGCAAAGGCACTTCACAGAAGAAGAAATACAAATGGGTCAAAAAATATATGAAAAAAATGTTCCATGTCTCTAGCAATTAGAACTATGCTTAGATTCTATCTCACTCCAGTCAGAATGGCAATTATTATCAAGAATATAAGTAACAATAAACATTAGCAAGGATATGGGGGAAAAAGGTTCACTCATATGTTGCTGGTGGGAATGCAAATTAGTGCAAAAACTGTGGAGAATAGTATGGAGATTCCTTAGAAAACTTGTAATGGAACAACCATTTGATCCAATTATCCCACTCCTCGGTCTATACCCAAAGAACTTAAAATCAGCATACTACAGTGATACAGCCACATCAATGTTCACAAGAGCTCAATTCACAATAGCCAAACTATGGAACCAACCGGGATGACCTCCAACAGAAGAATGGATAAAGAAAATGTGGCATATATACACATTAGAATATTACTTAACCATAAAGAAGAATGAAATTATGGCATTTGCCAGTAAATGGATGAAACTGAAGAATATCACGCTAAATGAAATAAGCCAGTCCCAAAAAAACCACAAGCCAGATGTTCTCTCTGGTATGTGCATACTAACCCACAACAAAGGAGGTTAGAGAGGGGAAGAACAGAAGTCCATTGGATTAGACAAAGGGGAATGAAGGAGGGCTGGGGATGGGAATAGGAAAGAGAATTAATTGGACATATCTTTCCTCTCCTCATGTATAAATACATAACCAATGTAACTGCACATCATGTACAACCATAACAATAGAATCCTAATTACAATAAATTTACTCCATATATGTATAATATATCAAAATACACTCTACAGTTATGTATATCTAAAAAGAATTTTTTTAAAAAAGGAGAACTAATGGCAGAACTAGGACTGGATAGGCATAGTACCTACTTATTCCATGACAGCAAATATAGACATACCTCAGTGGAGAAGCATGTAAGCAGTTTATTCTGGTTAACCTAATTTTGTGCTTAACTGAGTTAACCTTCTAAGTTATCATACATCAACTGTTTTCTGAGTATAAATACAAAATATACTAGTACTTAATAACTAAACACAAAAATATATGCTAGATACATGTTTTAGTCAGCTTTTTCACTGTTGTCACCAAAAGAACTGACAAGAACAATTTTAAGGAGGAAAAGTTAATTTGGGGGCTCACAGCTTCCAAGGCCTTAGTTCACACAGAACTAGCTCCATTGCTCTGGGCCCAAGGTGATGCAGAACATCATCGAGGAAGAATGTGGTGGAAGAAAGCAGGACATGGCCATCAAGAAATAGAGACAGACTCCCCTCACCACAGACAAAATATATACCCCAAAAATACATCCCCCTCAATGACCCACCTCATCCAACCACATCCTACCTGCCTATAGTTATCACACAGTTAATCCCTATTAGGGGATGAATGCACTGATTAGATTAAAACTCACAACCCAATCATTTCACCTCTAAACTTCCTTGCATTGTATCACACATAAGCTTTTGTTGGAGGATACTTCATATCTAAACCATAACAGCACAGCTTTGAAATACAAAACAACAGTCCCTGCCTCTAGTACAGGACATAAAATGCAGAAATGAGTATAACACAAGTGATCTCATGGGTGAACCTTGAAAACATTATGTTAAGAGAAAGAACCTAGTCACTTAGGACCAAGTGTTATGTGATTATATATATAGGAAATATCCAAAAGAGCTGGGCACAGTGGCTCATGCCTGTAAATACAGCATCTCGGGAGACTAAGGCAGGAAGAACACAAGTTATAAATTCAAAGCCAGCCTTAGCAACTTAGCAAGAGCCTGTCTCAAAATAAAAAAAATAAAAAGAACTGTGGATGTAACTCCTGGGTTTAATCCCCAGTGCTCACCCCGCCTTCCCGACAAAAAAAGAAAGAAAATATCCAGAAGGGGAAAATTCATAAAGACTGCAAGTTGATTAATGGTCGCTTCAGGCTAGAGGAGGTGGTGCAATGGTGAATGCTGATGGGTACTGGGTTTCTTTATGGGATGATGAAAATTTCTAAAATTGACTGTGACAGTCGTTTTAAAAAATCTGAAAATGTTGTCAACATTAACTGCATACTTTAAATGTGTGTATTGTATGATATGTGAATTATATCTCAACTAAGCTGTTGTTAACTCATTCCCAAATGCCTGTTCTTTCTCTCAAGTTAATGTAAGCTTACTAGTCACCTAATCAACTCAGATAGAAATCTCCAAGGTCTATTCAAATTCTCCCTCATTCCATCACCACAAGATATGCCCATTCCACCTCTGAACTATTGTTCATCAACTATTTTATTTCAGGCTTTCATCATTTAAGATTGGCTCTTTCAGGATGGCTATAAAACAGGCTTTCACCATAATGCAATTTGACTGCTTTCAGTCTGGCCACCACTAAGCAACATTCCTACCCTTTTTATTTAATTTTGAGACAAGGTCTGGCCTCTAACTTGGAATTCTCCTGTCTTAGCCTCCAGAGTAATCAGGATTTCGGGCATGAACCACTGAGGCCAGTAAATCTGGCCACCTACTAATCTGCAGCCTTTGCTATCTCAAGAGAAATATTTCTAAAGCACCAACAGTTACAAGAGACCCACATGTGGGCTAGGGTTGTGGCTCAGTGTTAGAGTGCCTGCCTAGCATGCACAAGGCATTAGGTTCGATCCTCAGCACCACATAAATGTAAAATACAAATATTGTGTTCACCTAAAACTTAAGAATAAATATTTTTAAAATTATCTATTTGTACAACTATTTAAAAAAAAGAGAGAGAACCCCACATGTTTAAAACTTTGTCTCCCCACAAACTAATAAAGTCAACATTATCTCCTAATGACATTCAAGAGTGTTCAAAATTTGGCAGTCCAACCAACCTTTCCATTGTCACCCCCCACCACCCCGGCCTTCCTTTCTCCCTACTTCACAGAGATCCAACATGTCCTCATTCTCAACATTTCCACACAAATACCAAGTAATTTTACTTTTTATATCATTCTTCCAGATCAATTCCCCACAACTTGTGAAACAAAAGCAAAACCCTGCATCTCCCACTATCCAACTCCCC